GGTCATGCCCCAAGTCTGGGTCTGTGCTCAGAATGGAGTCTGCTTGGGATTCTCTCTCTCTCTCCTTCTGCCCCTCCCGCTCATGTTCTCTCTCTCTCTCCCCCAAATAAATAAATAAATTCATCTTTAAAAAAAAATATTTGGTTTATAGATTTTTTCCACTGTAAAATATATAGACTTTAGGCTTTTGTAAATTGTCCCTATGAAAATCATCAGTATGAAGACCAGCAAATCAGGATCAGTGATCCACTCCAAATATTTGTTCACCTTGGGTTTTCTTGACTCAAACTGACAGCTCTGAAAAGAAGTCTGTATCATAAAACATGTTTTAAAGTTCAGTTTTATCACTTTCAAGTATTTTTGAGATTGATGGAATTTTCTTTACAATTTTTTAGGAGAAACACATTAATAAATAAGAGTCACTTCTAATGTGTCCATCTTTAGCTTACTACTTGTTTTTCTGAGTATTTTTGAAAGCAGTCTTTGTGATATAGTTCAAAGTCTGAGTTCCCTGCAAAGACATTTTTATGGGTCTTTTGTTGGTGTCCTAATGAAATCACACAGGCTGATTTTGAGAAATTGGAATAACTGAGATTATATATTGTATATAAGAAGTGGAGGATGGGACAGGGGATTTGAGTGACAGTCACTAATCTAACAGACCCGCCCCCACCCTTGCACAGCAAAATTATCAAATGTGGCAGCCACATTAACTTGGGTAGAGGACAATCCCTTTCTGAAGGAATAAATATTTATCATCTCTGAAATTTTAAAAATCATTTAAGCCAGCAGAACCAGAGGTGCACAGACAGCTAAGTATGTGTTTCCGGTGAGGTGACAGGGACTCAGCTCCGGGCTCAAAATTTCCAGAATGTGTACTAACAGTCCTGCTAAGGAGAGCCCCTCTTCATTCTGTAATTAGCAATGACATAACTTTCATTTCTTCAGTTAACCTTTGTGGATAGCTCTAGTCTCTGTTTCATGTCATTAATCTTTTTAGGAACTTCATTGCTGTCACCAAAACCATGCATATAAATTTCCTCCCCATACTTCTGCAAATTAAATAAAATGTGCTTTAGGCTTGCCTCAAATGCCAAAGGATTTATTTCCAAAATATTCCTAGGGCTATGTCTGAACACAGCACAGCTACCCACAGAAGCACAAAGCATTGGATGGGGTCAAGGAAGAGGGGACCACTTAAAGATAGAGACCTGTGACCATAAGACCCATGGGACCCATTCTGTAAATACATGTTGAATGAGGTCTAAGTAAAGAAATTTATCCCGCTCTGCCTTTCTCTTACTTAAAGGAGAAATCTCTTCACCTTTTTCAAGAAACATTTCCAAATCAAGTTCAAATTGATCATCAGCAGGTCAGGGTCACACCTAGGTGTATGTCTTTATTACTTCCTGTGCACCCCTAGATTGGAGAAAGCTTTGAGTAGCAAAGAGAACCAATATAAGGTCTAATGGATTATAATATGCCACAAATATATCTACATCTGTAAAAATCATTACATCATGGAAACAGGAAAAACAGCTCATCAGCCCCAGGTGAAACTATGTCTACCCTCTGGTGACCCTAGGGAATTATTAGAGGCCTACAAAGAGACATGGGCCTGTCAGTTCAAGGCCTGAGTGAAACCAAGCAGTTTCTAAGGAAGGGGGTAGTTTTACTGATGTTCTTCAGTTACTGATGCACTGCCACTAGTTGACTGTCTCTGAACTTTAGGAAGATGGCGATCATTTTTCATGAGCTGCTAGTTTTTGTGAGTTTCTGTTTGGGCTGGATTTAAGTGATCAGGGTAATAGAGCTTCCCACAACAAATCAAATTGGCAGGCTGTCAATGCTGCTCAAAATATGGCCCAAGGAAGGACACCGTCCACATCACCGGGGAGTTGTTAGAAACACGTGTTCTCTGTTCTCACCCCAGCTGGGGTGGAGCCCAGCAGTGTGAGTCTGAATGCCGCTCCAGGTGATTCTGATAGACACTAAAATTCAAGAAGCATCAGCCACCCTATCATTTCTCTCCTCCTCCCTTAACGCTAGGATCCTCGATTTGGAGGAAGGATGGTAACGTTCCCAGGTTAATGACATATTTTCCAGTCATTTAAGGTCGATGATATACATATGGCAGGAACTAGAAGGAAGGTCTAAGAGGACAGTTTCAAGGGAAGAGGGCTTAACTGGGAGGTGCCACCCCTTTGCCCTTTGTCCTTTCTTTTGCTTCCTGCCTGAACTGTGGATATGAGGACCAGCAGGAAAATTGCCATCCTGGTCCCTGAGGCAGCCTCATGGAAACAGTGCACTAAAAATTGAGGAAGCCTAAAGTCAGGAGTCTGTTCCCAAGAATCCAATCACAAAGCAGATGTACTAGCTATGGCTTTCTTTCCTCCAGATTTCCTTAATACAGGAGAGAAATAAAACTTGAAATTATTATGAATGTACTGTAAACCTGCTGGTTGAGGTTTTCAGCCATATGTTATCCAACCTAATCCCAATCAAACCCCAAAGATTGAGTCAATGTTGGTTCAGATGCCCCCTAGATGAGCCAACCGTAAAAGTGGACACCCCTTTCCTGGGACTACGGGGAGCCTTGCTCACTACTCAATGCCCTGCTTGCGTTCCAGGCCCTCAGCCCTTCTTCCACGTACAACCCTCTGCAAAGTCAGTGAAGTAAAAACTGAGTACTTTCTGGAGAAAACTAGTTCAGGTGTCTTTTCCTTTACCTGGTTTATGAAGATAAGAAATGAGTACACTCTTAGAGGAAAAGAGAAACAAGAAAGAAAACAATGAGATTCAGAAATCCACAGTTGGCTGGTAGGGAAATGAGAACCTTCTTACAAGCAGAAGGTATATTTTACCGATGATAAGATCGTCGCACACTGTTTTTATTGCCAACTTAATAACCATCCTGCCCACTTGCCATTAAGTAGAAGGAAGCAGGAGGCAGGACTGTGACCAGGGTTTCCACCAGTGGATCCCAGGCTTAGCATGGAGCCTGGCCCACAATATGGGCTCAGTAAGGATTTATTGAATACATGAATGAATCAGTGACTAGATGAATTAATAAATACCAATCTTTTCATACGATGATCCTTCCACTTATTCCAGGTGAGACAATCAAGTGAGTTGTCTATGAATGGCCTCTGGGAATGGAGGATTAATGTTTGTCTCTTCATCCCATCCCTCAGAGACTCAATGGGAGGTCCTGCAGTTAGGAAATCACGGACTGAGAGTTTACTCCAGAATTATAGAGAGAGCATCACTGCAGGCCTTGTAACCCGCTCCCAGTGTTACGCATCTCCTTGGTCATATCATCATTTGCTCTCTCAAGGTCCCCGTATGCAAAATAAGGTGAAAGAAATGGTTTTCTACATGTCAACCCCAACTGATCCAATCCACTTAGGAATCCAGAAGACACCTTAGCATCTGGAAATAACCTCCAGCCTCAGTTCTTAAAGGTTTGTTTATAATTATTTTTATTATTATTTTTACTGAGCTAATACAAGGTAGCAGGGGGACCCCGGGAATGTGGTTATTTGTCACATGACCTCAGGTACATGTGCTATAAACTTCACAAACAGGCATACCGCTTTCACTAATTATGTCCAATAAAACAGAAGGTCAGAAATTAGCATCAAGAGATGACACAACACAGTTGAGGCTGTTAAAAGTAACAGGTCCCCAAATGGGCATCATAAAATACATCATGAACTGTGAATAGCTTTGCCTCACGAAGGAGAACCTCAACCTTCCACGCCACAAGGATGCCATCGGGAGTCTCTCAGGGTAGAACATGAAATGAAAAATAAGTGGCTGGCCAGGAATGCTGTACATTATCCCCCAAGGACTTGCCACGGAGACTATTTTTAAAGAAACATTGATCTCAGCAGGCATGACAGCATTTAAGAAGTGGCCAGGTATACCAGCGTCAGGCAATCCTTCATGGACGGGGAAAGGCTGCAGAGTCTGGCTGCACCCTTTACAAAGGCTGATATGATGGATAAGATGGGAACTGCCCTTGGTTGGTTAGGTGGTTGGTTTAAGGAGCCATAAAGGTCACGCAGAAGTTAGAGCTTGAAAACCAAATGGAATCGACCCCCGAATTATGGCAGCCACCTCAACACTCAAAAATTAATCAGACATGAGATTTAAAAGATTCTTCTTCACTACAAATGCAGACTCTAACTGCTTTGTAAATTTCTTCTGTGGTAGCTGCTCATTAAATGGTATCATCCCATTGAAAAATAACGTTACAAGGGATGCGGCCGTCTCTGTTTACACACTTCCCTTGAACTAACCAAGCCACTGTATTTCATATGGCCAGAATACGGAAAGTCTGTTACAGCTATGTTACATTGGGCTTCTCATTATTGATGCAGCCTTTATGTTAGGTAACTCCTAGAAAACACTGAGAGAAACGTTAATACACAATAGTATATTTATATATCTACGGGGATCAAGGTGTCAAATCAGAGTTGACATGTCTTCCTTCCCTGTAAAGAAAAAAAGAGTGAATAAAGAGGTAGGAGACAAAAGAAGCAAAGTCAACATTTTAACCATTTCAACTGATCTCAGATCTAAGGTGGAAAGGTGTAATATTTACTCTTTCCTCCTGTATACCCGTTACTCCAGAAAACAACCACAAGAGGGCCTGAAGCTGTCCTGGGACCAAAGTGTCTCCCCAAGGCCGAGAAAATACTCCATGGGGTCATCATTATCTCGCTTCAGTTTTTGGAGATGTCTGGTAGGGAACGTGTGGCACTTGACAGCACTGAGAACACTGCAAACCAGATTGAAGCATGAGTTCTTACAAACTGATGCTCACTTGGCCTCAGCCAGTCCACCTGCAGGGACAAGAGCTCATAGCCCACTGTCCCATTCTAGATCGTTCCAGTGCATGAAACCTTCCTTTTCTGTGTTGTCAAGACTCCAGCCTGTTGTTGACCCTTCCCGAAGCACTTTTCCTGGGTTCCCCACCCCACAGCCCCCCCCCCCCCCACTCATGTTCCAAACATCTCAGCAAAGAATTTACTTGGAGCACTGAAGAGAAACATACTCGACATCCACTGCATGCCCTAATTCCCATGCCAATGACATCTGTTTTCAAAAGTCCTGAACCAAGACATAGCATAGACTTATCATGGGAACTGACCAGGATAACAAATACAGATCATGTTTTACAGCTAAAAGAAATAGAAAGAATATACACTTTGGAGAACTGTGACTACACTTCCTCATCCCTTCCTCAATCACTCATCTTGTCCACTGTGTTTTATTCTTGCCTATAAAGAGAACCCCAGAGACCCGGAATCCTTCTGTTGTTTCTGGGGGAGTAGCAACATCTAATGCTGGTACCCACGGTGGTAAGCTTGATTCACAAGTGATCTGTGTAAGAGAAAAAGTAACTACTCCACCTACACGAAGAAAAGTGCCTGGGTTAAATGAACTGTACAAGGTGAGTTTGCAAAGTGCATCCTCCTGACAGCAAGTTAAATGGCTATAAGATATTGTGCTTGCATTTCATTCAATCAGACCCAATTTCCTGGGACCCCAAACAGCAGCTCCTCCCAAAATATGGCTAAAACACTGGCAAATATTTGCAGGTACCATTTCTGCAAATTAAACCCAGATATAGTTATGTACAAAGTTAGTTTACAGAATACCTATCACATTATGTTTCTTTGAATAGATCAAAACAGGAATAAATAGCATCCTTAAATTTACCACCTAATCGTCATGGAAAACTTAGGACACTTGGTTGAGGGCAGAGCAGATTTCTATAGATATTGCTCAAATATTTGGCTTTCTATATTAGAGTATCTTCAATGCTATTGTGCCAATTTTGAAATGGAACATGGGCTCAGTGATACCTTTAAATGCAAAAATATAAGTATCCTGTAGTTCAAGCCCAATATTTATGACTCTAACTTCCTGGCAAGTCAGTTTGTTAGGTCACCAGGCTCTGAGGAATCTTATGGAGGAGGAACTTAAATGTTTCTCACCCTCAAATTCATTTTGAAATGCAAATAAGTCCTTTCACCTCGGTAGGGGGAATACACACTCCTTGCTCAGCGTGTGCACCCACTAGAAGTTGTGATCCTTCTTCCCCTGCTTTGGGCTGGGGAGACCCAAAGCCAAGAACACAGCTCTGGGATTCTGAAGGTGATTCAGGACACCCCCAAATCAGTCACCTGAGTTACAAACATATTGATGGGTCCTAAACTAGGAGTCACAAAATCAACTTCTCCTGTGTCCTCTGGACAGTGTCCTCTGGACAGTGTCCTCTGGACAGTGATAGACAGGAAGCATGGGTGCATTCAAGGTTCCTGGATAAGGGTCTTCCAACATCTTCTTTCCCCAGAGGTTGTTCACATCAGGACCTGTTCTCGGGTCTCTGGCAGCCGAAGAGCAATCAGGCCACCCCCAACAAGAGAAGCAGCAGCCAGAAGAATGGGGACCACTTTGGTTATCCCAACAAAAGAAGAAAAAATGGTGTTTCCCAGGATGGCACCAAATTTGCATAATCCATTAAGGATGCCAAAGGCTGTCGCCCTGTAAAAGAAGGAGAAAGTAAATCATTCTAAAAGATGAACCAGACCTCCTTGGATGAACAGGACTGGGTCCTTTCTTTCCCTTGTTGTGAGGGAATGTATAGTGAAGATGTGGGAGGGGACTTCTGTCCCTAAACATAAAAGTCAAACATTCTCATTTTAATCAAATTTGGAAATACAGAATAACATAAAGATACAAAGATATATAACCCCACCACTGAAAGACAATCACCACTATTCACATTCTGGAGTATTTCCTTCACACTTTCTTTTTCTTTTCAAATGTAGACTACATTTCCCAGATTCCCTTGCTTCAGAGTCTGGCCATGTGACTGTTTTTAGCCAATGGGATATAAGTGCAAATGGCAGCTCCTGAGAAATTTCCTTGAGGGATGTCATGAGTGGTACTTTTTGCTCTCTTCTCTTCCATTTTTCTTCCTTCCATCCCACTTCCAAAAATGTAGATGGTCTCATCTTAGCCCATGGCAGAACTCATGAAACAGCGAACAACAAGATGAAAAGAGTCTGTAGTGCCTGCTCTGGACTTCTACAGGAGACAAAAAGGAAATGCCTACCTTCCCAAGGCTGCAGTTATTTGAGATTTCTGTCACCCATGGGAAAACCTAATCCTAATTATTATCCCCCAATTATACTTCTGAGGAGCAACTACTATTTTTTTAAAAGTTCATTTATTTTTTTTTTTAGAAATCTCTGCCTCCAACATGGGACTCAAACTCACCACCCCAGTGATCAAGAGTCACATATTCTACTGGCTAAGCCAGCCAGGTGTCCCCTCAGTGGTAACTGCTACTAATCATCTGTCCTTTCTTGACTCCATTTGTATACAGAGACTATACTCCCAGCACCAGCTAGCTCTCTTCAACTGAAGCAAAATATATCACAGGTTTATTAAGAATGTGTTTGCATTTTTGTACATTAATTTTTTTTTACATTTTTAATCACTTCATATATAACTAGCCCCAATCCCAATCTTTTTGTTTTCAGAATTTTCTTGAGTATTTTCACATGTGTGTTTCTCTACATGAAATTCCCAAAGTTGTCCCAAGTTTCCAGAGGGAAGGAAAAAAATCTCATTGAATTCTGAATGGATTTATTGAAGTTAGAAAGAAACAAAGGAAGATTTGAAATTTGTGTGAGAATAAATCTTCTTAGAATTTCATAAAGTATATCTTGACATATATATAAGACTTCTGTTTCATCTTTCACTAAAGCTTTATGGTTTTCTTCACATAAGTGTTTCATTTTTCTTATTATTCCTTATATTCTTACATTCCTAAATAGTTTAGGATTTCTGCTATTACTAAATGGAATTCAATTTTACTTTTAAATTTTTAGATACATTTTAAAATCCCATATGTTAAGTTAGTTTTATTATTGACCACCGTATCAAATTATTTTACTGTTTCTAGCAGTCTCTTTAGTTAATTGTCTTGAGTTTCCTAGATGTAAAAGCATATACCATGGAAATAATGATAATTTTCCTCCTCTTATTTTTTGTAAAACTTAGAAGCTCTTGGTTCAGGGGAGAGGGCCTCCAAATATGGAATGCTGTGCTTTGCCATAGCTCTCCATATTCTAATACCTCTGTCACCAATTTGGGGAATATCATTAAGATTTTTTTGCAGAATTTCATTTACCTACCTTCCACATCACTCCCCATGCCTTTTGACCAAAAGGCCACTTAACCTGCCATCCTTAAAATTCACAGCTCCCTCTCCATAAGGAGGGATAACTTCTGCATAATGGCTTTGACCCTATGCCTTTCAACCAAGCCTCTTCCCATATGGCTTGCACAAAAATAGAAGTAAATGCTCGGCATTCCTACCACATTCTCTGCAAGTGCCCTAGACCATCAGGCATCATCCCCACCTTTATCTGCACTTGCCTCTCCCCCACCCTTTGCTTATCTACTTTTTCACCTTTTTGCCCTCTCTCCCATTAGAGGCCTGTTATCACCTCTCTTCAGAGTGCATGGCACCTATGGTGTCCCCCTCATTCCTTTCTCCCAAACATGGTTTATAATTGTCCTTTGTATCTAGACCCTCTCCCCACCCCATCAGGCTTTAGCCTGCTCACCTCCGTACCTATGCCAACCCCCATGCGGGAGAAACTCAACCACCAAAGAGATGTTTGCTTTGTCTGTGAAACACCAGAAGACCAAGGTAGCTGTGGGGGAGGGTGTTGGAGTGGGTAGATTTCTGGCCAAAGAAGTCCGAACGAGTCCCAGAGGGAAACCCAGGGAAGAACTGACCTCTGGTTGGTGGGATACAGCTCCACCGTGATCACATCCAGAGCATTCCAGGCAGCAATGCTGGTCCCACAGAACAGGCACTGCCAGCCAATCATCGCAGACTCACTGTTGCCAAAAAACAGGAAGAAGCAGCAGACTGCCGAGATCAGCATAGAGCCACCTACAGGGGCAGGACGAGGGCAGGAAAAAACAAAAACAAAAAAAACATGAAACCTATGTCTTAGATAAGATTGTCACCCACTCCCATCTTCACAGATGCACCTGAAATAACAGGTTCCCTCAAGTCATAGGTCCATTTCTACAAGGAGAAAGCACGGCTCCCCACATGGTCCTCCAGCCATGGGATTAGAGCCTTCTGCATGTGTCATGTCACCAGGGTTAGCCTCCTGGAAGGATTTTGAAATCCTCACTCTGTGGTGCTGCCCAGCCCAGAATTACTGGGGAGGAGGCCGAGGAGGCATTCCTTGAAAATCTGTTATGTCCCAGACATTGTACTGGGTGCCTGAAATACATCAATATCAAAAAATCCTCATGGAGCTTACGTGCTATTGAGAACAGAACTGTAAATGGGCTGCAGAAGAAAACCTGAAGGGCCCTGCTGTTTATTCCCCATTTATCCCATCTCCACCCCAGACATCTGATCTACCTTCTCAGCCTTGCCCTGTGCCCTGAGAAGCTAACCCCCAGGGACTGCATACCTGTGGATCCCCTGTCAGCTGGGAGCAGATAGGGGTTGGAGTATTTCTTCCCGATTCACAGCCTATTTATAAGCCCTTTTTTGGCAATGGCTACATCCCCACGCCAGGACTATAGTTCCTTCCAGGAGCCTCTGCCTCCATGGTTCCAGCTCTCCTTGGGCTCTGTGAGTGCTATCTTCTCCCTGCAATCCTAGAGGCAGTACCTGCTGGCAGTTTCACTAGCATCCGGGTGCCTCTGCACCCACACCCCCTGACTCTAAAAGCCACATCCCATGCATAAAGTCTCTTCACTAGCACTATCTAAGGTGGATCCTTTCTCCCACCATTACTCTGACTGATACAGCTCATGATAAAAGTTCTCACTGAAAGAAGGCCATGTCAAATGTTGCCCAAATCCATTCCATCCAGCCCAGAAGAGCTTGGGGAATGTGGAATGGATGCAGGGCATGGACCAGGACTATGGTTGGAAATGCAGTGGGAATAGTCCGAAGAAAGAAACAAAGTAGCTTTCCAAACAACCAGCTGGGAAACAGACCAACGGTCCTTCCCAGGCATCAGGACCCTGGAGGTCCCGTTGACAGGAAGCTATGTTGGTGGCCTGGCCTCACCCACAAGGACCTCCCTGGTGGGGACGCCTCCGTCTAGAATCTCAGACCTGGAGTTGCCAACACTGATGTCAAACCCTGCTGGTGAGCTGGGACATGGTAACTGTCGCCTGAATTCTGCTGATTCTGGGAGGGGGCAGGGCTGTGAGCAGGTCACCTGGTAACATCTTTCCAAACAGCTAAGAAGGAGATAAACATCTATGGGGCCACAAGGGCCTTGGGACCTATACCACCTAAATGCATGCTTCCCTCAAATTGCCCAACCATGGTGTCTAGCTTACAATAAATGTTGACAAAAGTTTACTGAATACAAAACCTTACCATCGAATAAATCAAGTGACGGAGAACTGACCTCTCAACTGCATTAGTAATCCTACTATAGAGCCCTGTGACCCACTGTACTTCCACTCTGTTAACTCTCATTTCCCTTGTGATGGAGAGGCCTGAGTTCAAGTCCCAACTTCTTCCCCTGTGTGACCTTGAGCAAGTCTCCTAAACTCCCTGTGCTGCCTCACTTTCCCTCTCTGTAAAATGTTGACAAAAAATAGTACCTGCCTCACCGGAGTGTTAAATATATTAATATTTACAAAATGCTTGGCAGGAAGCCTGACCTATAATCCATGCTTTATAAGAGTTTGTTCAATGAAATTTCTAGTTTATGTCTGTCTCTTGCAATAGATCATTTGCTCTGTGAGCATGAGGACGCTGTCTGTCTCAGTTACCGCTGCCTTCTCATTGTGTGCCACACACACAGCCTGGCAGAGAATAAGTCCTGCATATATTACCGCTTATCGAGTGAAAAAATGAGAACAAACAGCCTCATCAGGAAAACTTCTACTTTGTTGTTAACAAGACATGACTTCTACCCTGGAAATAGCACAGCAGAGTACATTTTATGTCAGGGCAGATTCAAGAGGAATCTGTCTGAAGAAATAGTTCTTTTCATTCGTGGAAAGACTATTTCAAAACAGGTCACCTACATCCCATTGAGATATTTATTGAGCATCTAGTATGAGCCGCGAACTAAGAATATCACCGTTGGTCCGCCTTGTGCTAGACCTTCTACTAAAGAAGGAAGAAGGAACTGTCTGTGCTTTTAACAGTGCAGCTCAGAACCAAAATACAGACATTAATAAAAGAGTAGGCTACAAGAATGAGAAATAGTAGTTCCAGCTGTCCAGTTTGGGGAACGTGACAGAAATCAGTTCTGATCTGGGATACATTTATGATGTCAAGACAGGCTACTGTGGCTGCAAAGGGGATGTCTGCTCTCCGGCTGCCCTGCCCCCTCCCCCTGCCCAGCCTAAACTCCACCTCTATCGGGGAATATGTGGCTGTTCCGGGGGGCAGGCTACACCCCTGCACACGTGCATCCACCCCACCCCTCATAAACCCTGCCTTCCCAAGGATGTCTCAGGCTACCCCCAGGGCTCAGCCACAGTATTCGCTGTTCAACCTGGGGCTGGAAAGGTCAGGGGCAGAATGACAGAAACATCACCCATCTACTCTCACACACCTTATCACATTTGAGCAAAGGTTGGTATTACTTTCACAATTGGAAACAGAAGCTCAGAGAAGGAAAGGAAGGTGTGCAGACTCATAAAGCAAATGTTGGCGGAGATGGCCACCTAAGTCGGAGCTGCTGGTCTTGCACAGGGTATAAGTGGGCTGAAAAACTCAGGCATTGAGGACTGAGTCAACGCTGCCCTTCCTTCAGGGCTTCAGGTCTAACCAGGGCCTCACCTCTGACCCAGGAGACAGTTCTGTCTGTGACTGTGATGCCAGCCTCACCACATGCAGCATTTCTTGTGCTCCCCATTCTAAATATTCATGCTACTTTTACAATAATAATACTCCACGAGCCTCACATTGGCAAGAGCTCCCTTTGCGGAGCTCTGATTAATTTGCTCTTCTCTGACAAAACGACTATGTGATTTATTTTATTCCCCTTTGAGCTTCCCTGCTAGGGAGTTGGTATTAATTTTCCTGACCAGCTACATCCCAGAACAGACCCTTCACAGCATGTGTATCAGTGTGTTGTTCTTGTCCCCATGCTGGCCTTACAATTTATATATTCCAGTACATATTTTCCCTGGCCCTGGATGTATATGTTTTGTTTCTTACTTTCCATGCACAGCGTGTGTTTCTGTAGCAAACTTCTGTGAATCCTGGTGTGGTGAAGCAAGTCATACGTGAAAACTTCTACCATTTTGAGAACCTACAGGCACCAAGCGCTATAAGATGCTCTGGCTACATTATGCTCAAGCCTCACAAAACTCGACCAGCTAGTTACAGGTACAGATATGGAACCTGAAGCCTGGAGAAGTAAAAGAACATGTCTCAAGTCAGATAGCCTCGAGCTGATAGGACTCGGACATGTGTCTGTGCACCTCCAAAGCCTAAGTGTCATCACTATGAAATCATAATAAGCAATGCAATCTATTAAAAACCCATCAGATGAACCAATGTTCACTGAAGAGCATTTTTTTTTTCAATAATCTTACAAAGTGGGTAGAATGGGCATGTTCAATATACTTCTGAAGTGCTAATAGTGTGAGTGACTATCCAGGAATCGCTCAGTCAGGAAATGAAAAGGAGTCCCTGACCTGGACCATAGGTCTCAATGTACATCCATGGAGTCCGAGAGTTTTGGAGCCTTGTCTGCCTCCTAGGCTCTCCACCAGCAGATCCCATCTTACCTGTTTGGTTTCCAGTACAAGATTTATTTAAGAAAAAGAAAAAATCCTCTCCTTTAATACATTTTGAAAGCCAGGATCCTCACCTACTGGAGGAGATGCGGCGTCCCTAACTACTCACCGATCATCTTGAGCCTTCCAACTCTATCCATGAGCAGGGCAGAAATGATGTTGCCAGGCAGGACAGACAGACTGCCAAGGAAGCTGACGAGGTAAATCAGGAAGTCATTATCCTGCTCAAAGTCCATGTGGCAGCCCTCCTTCGGCGCCAGAAAGGTCGTGTTGATAAACCGGCAGTTGATAAACTTATGCTTGTAGAGGTCTGGGGAGAGAAGGATACCGTGGGTTCATGTACAGTGAACAGGGGCTGGGGAGAGATGGGGCAGAGGCAGGAATGGAGTCACACGTCTTCCGAGGGCAGGCTGCCCCACACATCTGGCCATCAGACAATCTCAAAGTCACAGTGACGTGTGGCCAGGTACGGGTGGACAGAGAAAACCCTAACAAGGTAATGACTGCTTCCACTTCCCATAAGCAAAGGGAAATGAAGTGAATGCCCATGGAGACGCACGTCTAAATACATCATCTTTCAACCAGGAAACCGTCTTGTTTCTTTCTTTCTTTTTTAATTGCTTTTTTTAAAAGATTTTATTTATTCACTTGACAGAGTGATAGATATCAAGAGAAAGAGAGCATAAGCAGAGGGAGCAGCAGACAGTGGGAGAAGGAGAAACAGGTTCTCTGCTGAGCAAGGAGCCCAATGTGGGGCTCGATCCCAGGACCCTGGGATCATGACCTGAGCCAAAGGCAGATGCTTAACGGACTGAGCCACTGAGGTGTCCCAAAACCATCCTGTTTCTATCAATGACATGACACCAGGGTCCACACCAAGGCTGGGCCATTCTTCCGAGGCTACCCAACTTACAGGAAGAAGAAGACACAAGAATTGGGTCTGGATTGAGGTGAAACATTCCAGAACCCATGCAGAAACCTGAACATTCTTCAAAATGAAAAACGTTTGTGGGGCGTCTGGGGGGCTCAGTCAGCTGAGCGTCCGGCTCTTGATTTCAGCTCAGGTCATGATCTTGGGATCCTGGGATTGAGCTCCATGTCAGTCTCCATGCCCAGGGACTGTCTGCTTGGGATTCTCTCTCACTCTCTCCACACGCTTGTGCTCCCTCTCTCTCTCTCTCGCTCTAAAATAAACAAAATATTTTTAAAAATTAAAATTAAGTTAAATTAAATTAAAAATAAAATTAAAACCCATTTGTTCAGTAGTTTCCACGGTAGGGAGCAGGAGAGATGAATATGGAGAGCATAGAGGATTTTTAGGGCAGTGAAAATACTCTACATGGTATGATAATGGTGGATATATGCCATTATACATTTGTCCAAGTCCAGAAAGTGTCCAACACCAACAGCGAATTCTCCTGTAAACTCTGGACTTGGGATGATTATGAGGTGTCAGTGTAGGTTCATCAATGGTAACAAATACACCACTCTCGTGAGGGCATGTTGATGATGGGGGAGACAGGGCTGGGGGACAGGAGCTCTATGGAAATCTGTACCTTCTTTCTAATTTTATTTTAAACCTTAAACATCTCCGAAAAAATCAAGTCTTAAAAATATATAAACCATTTGCTTTGGAGCTAGTTCCCAAGTCTTCTGACCCCTTCTAATACCCACTGTCCAAGCAGAAAGAGTGCCTAAGGAAGCTCTCGGAAAATCTGGGTTTCGGGACCTGGCTCTGCAGCTGAACCTCCTTAACCTTCTGTAACCTCCTCCTATAAAATTAGAAAAGTACACCTGATTCTCTCCATCACTTCCCAGCACTGACATTTCATGAGTACAGGTGTTTGCAAAAGTCCCCACATGATCATATGCAAAGAGGCATCATTAAAACTTGAAAGAAGAAATTAAAAGATGCATCCAGTTTTAATGACAAACAGGCAACGTATATGCCTTTTTAGGTTCGGGCTAAAAAAAATTACAAAGGTACATCTCATAATGGATCACTTAGAGATGGAGGGATATTTGGAGGTCAGAGAGTAAACATTTTGAGGCTGACCTCATGGAAGGAAAGATATTCTTGCATCAGCCATGGTGCTGAGGGTCAGGAGAAAGCAGTAATATTGGCACAATGCACAGAGTTCAGTGGACAGATCACAGACTTCAGAACCAAACAACTCGGGAATGAATCCACGCTCCCTCAGCTTGCTAGCTGTGGCCTTGGGCAAGGGCTTAAGCCTGGGTTTCCTGAGCTATAAAATGGGAGTAATTGTACATTTCTCACTGGAGACAATGTAGATGAAGCCCCTGGTAGAGCTCAGGTAGTTTCCTTATGTCTCAACTCCCCTTGGTATGTTATTAAACTATGATGAGAGTAGTAAAAGTGACGAGGAGTGATAGAGTGGTGGGATTTTGTGAAAATTTTTTAATCATGGAAGACTGAAATGGTGTGATTTGAAAATATGCCTCTGATCTCACTTTATGCACAAGGCTTGAAAAGATACAATTTTCCCTCTCCCTTTATTATTGTGAGAACATGAACCTTGAATTTTGCAAGATTCAAATTACATGAGGTCTTTGAGAAAGCGCTCCATGCATAAAATGCCACCTTCCTGAAATGTTGGCTTCCGAAAGGCTTCCCACTGAAGACCTGCCACATACGGCACTGGAGATGCTTGCGATCAGAGCACTCACCCAGAACTTTTGTTTCCACTTCACATATGATAACACACGCAAATTACATTGGTAAAGATGGTGCAACTAATCCGTGCCATGCCTCGGGCTAGAACCCATTTCTCCAACCTGATGCTCAATAACGACGTCCGTGTGTACCTTTCTACTCCTAAAGCTTATGACTGAGCACTTTGCTTCTTTTTTTTTAATTTTTACATATTTTTATAAACATATAATGTATTATTATCCCCAGGGGTACAGGTCTGTGAATCGCCAGGTTTACATACTTCACAGCACTCACCATAGCACATACCCTCCCCATTGTCCATAACCCCAGCCCCCTCTCCCTACCCCCATCCCCCCAGCAACCCTCAGTTTGTTTTGTGAGATTAAGAGTCTCTTATGGTTTGTCTCCCTCCCAATCCCATCTTGTTTCATTTATTCTTTTCCTACCCCCTCAAGCCCCCCACGTTGCATCTCCACTTCCTCATATCAGGGAGATCATATGATAGTTGTCTTTCTCCGACTGACTTATTTAGCTAAGCATGATACCCTCTAGTTCCATCCATGTCATCGCAAATGGCAAGATTTCATTTCTTTTGATGGCTGCATAGTATTCCATTGTATATATATACCACATCTTCTTTATCCATTCATCTGTTGATGGACGTCGAGGTTCTTTCCATAGTTTGGCTATTGTGGGCATTGCTGCTATAAACATTTGGGAGCACGTGAGCACTTTGATTCTTAAGTAAGGCCAGTCCACCCTTGATACCGTGCACCCACACCGTCCATGTTCTCACCTGTGTTGTAGAAGACGGTCGATTCAATGGTGCAATTTTTGAAATAGGTATCAGTAGATGTAACATCTTCAAAATAGCACTCGTCAAAGAATGTGTCCTCGAAGAGTACATGTTTAAAGTACATCTTTGTGAACCTGTAGGCAAGACATTAGTCCCTGAGTGATTGGTCCTGAGAGAAGCCTTGAGACCAAAATGGAAAGCACAGAAAGGCAGGAAAAGGAGAACTTCAAATGAAAGGGTGCTGAAACATTACTTTCCAAGGTTAGTTCCCTATTCCTTAGCTGGTGTTTACAAAGGAGGAAGGAGACTGGGAATGTGGAAACTTATCTGATCTGGGTAGACACAGGGGGTACGAAGCAGCAGCCCAGTGATTCCCAAATGTACTCATGGACCTTCTGCCTCAGACTCATTGAGATATGGACAAGCTACTGTGAAATGAAAATACCGATCACGTGGCACTTTATGAGGAGCTTTGAAAATGTACAGGTCCGGGGCTCCTGGGTGGCTCAGTCGGTTAATCATCTGCTTTTGGCTCAGGTCATGATCTTGGGGTCCTGGGATGGAGCCCCACCTAAGGCTTCCTACTCAGCAGGGAGTCTGCTTCTCCCTCTTCCTTTGTCCCCACTCTGGCTTGCACATGCACTTTCTCTCTCTTTCTCTAATAAGTAAATAAAATCTTGTTTAAAAATGCAGGTCCCTCAGCTCCTCCTAGTAGGCTTGGAAGCAATAGATTTGTGAGAGGCTGAGAATCTTCATTTTAAAAACTTCCCTGGGGCACCTGGTTGGCTCAGTGGGTTAAGCCTCTGCCTTTGGCTCAGATCATGGTCTCACTGTCCTGGGATTGAGCCCTTCATCGGGCTCTCTGCTCAGCAGGGAGCCTGCTTCCCCCTCTCTCTCTGCCTGCCACTCTGCCTACTTGTGATTTCTGTCAAATAAATAAATAAAATCTTAAAAAAAAAAACTTCCCCAATAAAGATTTGGAGCAATAAGCACTTTCATTCACACAGAGGGTAGAGTATTATTGGTGAAGCCTCTTTGGAGAACACTTTTGCAAAATTTTGAGTGCGTGATGGCATTGACCTAGAAATACCACCTCTAAGACCTGACCCTATCTATACTTGCTCATGCATTCAAAGAAATACATTCACAGATGCTCGATGCAACATTTCTTATAATAGAATTGATCACTAGACAGATGATGGGTGGGTAGGTAGACAGACAGGGAGATGCCCACATGGTGAAATACCATGTGGCTATTACAGTTTTTAGGTAAATGCCTTAATATGGAACAATCTTGAAGGTATACTGTTAACTGAAAAAAATAAAATGCAAGCTGTGACCATTCATGTAAAAAAGTATATGTACCATATGCCTCCAAATGAATAGAATATACCCAAGAGTTACACAAGAAACTGGTAGATGTGTGGCCCTGGGAAGGTTCAATGGGATAAGCTTCATTTTCCCTTTATGCCAAGCATACATATTACTTTTTCACGAAAAACAAAATGAGGATGGAAGCACCTAGTGACTATGAAGTGCAGGCACATCTGGGAGCCACTGGTCTGCTCCAACTCCTACATGAACGTAATAGGAAAAAACAATATTACATTCAAAACCATATACTGACCTACATTAACATCATCCTCTGCGGGACCTTTCCCAAGCTTGGCCAAACTTTTAAGCTAGAAGCCTTGGACCTGTTTCCATTTGTGAAGAATTACAACTCATTCATTTGTCTATTCATTTATTTATACACTCAGTCTTCAGCAAAACTTAGGTAAATGGTATTGGGGGCTACGCATACAGAGAGGAAAGACATGGTCCCTGCCCTTAAATCTAATTGGGAGGGGCGGGAAAAAAACCAACAAGCCAACAGACAATTCAGTGGGAATCACCTTGATACAGGTGGTACAGGCTGCTGAGGGTCATTGTCCTCTTCAGAGCCACCACATGATTCAGTCCATGACCACAGATGATGACTAGGTCTCCTTTCCCTTCATGCTATACTGCATTCTGCTAACAACCCTACTCTAGAGTCACCTGTCATGAGCTTCTGCAAAAAGACACCCCCACCCAGTAAGAACACCTAATCAAGTGCTTCTCAAAGAGAAGTCCCAAGAACACTTGCATCAGAATAAAACCAAAGGTTGTTATGAAAGATGAAGTTTCCTATATTCCTAGACCCCTTGAACCAGAACCACCAGAGGCAGATGCCAGATTATTTCAAAAATGTGAGGGTCATTGGTCTAGAGAAGCCAAATTATTTTACAGAATTTTTCGTAGGGTCAGATTTGCTACAGACTTATAAACAGGGGCCTCCAAAGGCTATCACTGCACTCTTCAGATTTCCATGGATATTGCTAAGACTTGTGCTACAGGAAGATGTCTTTGATTTCAAAATTAATGTAATTTGTATGCTGGATATGTTTACTCAGGAAAGCTATTCCTGGAGGCTGTCTTGGGTTTTGCCTTTTTAAATATATCCTTCTCTTTAATATAGCAATAGGTTGCTGATGTGGCCCTCAGATATATTTTAATGTTCTGCCAGGGGTAGGTGAGGGAGCAGAGACATAAATCATAAAGGGCCTGACGTAAGCAGACCTTAAAATGTATCTCCAAGTGAGTTATAAAAAGCCAAAGTTATAAAGAAAGAGATAAAAGGAGAAAGGACCAAGGCATATTTTATGAATCTTTATATAAACCATCCCCTAACTCTAATTTATATACTGAACTGGTCTGAGCCTCTTCATTCAGGAGAGTTCAAAGGCTGCAAGAAAAATTAGAGCAAGTGTCTTATGGAACTTGTCCTGTAAGAAAACAGGAGCCATTGGCAATGCAGAATCTATGGCAGGATTATTACACAAACACTTTATGTCAGTTACCCTTAGTCCCAATGGTTAGTCCACCAAATGCTAAACTATGCCAAAAATTTTATCTGTTTGGTCACTGTGTTTTACTTGATGGCAACCTCAAGAAGCTCAGTCTAGTGAAAGATAAATAAGAAAACTGATCATTAAAATTTAGTGTGATAATTATCAAGATGGAGGTATGTTCTTTTTTTAAAATTTTATTTATTTATTTAACAGAGAGAGAGATCACAAGTAGGCAGAGAGGCAGGCAGAGAGAGAGGGGGAAGCAGGCTCTGTGAGCAGAAAGCCTGATGCGGGGCTTGATCCCAGGACCCTGAGATCATGACCTGAGCCAAAGGCAGAGGCTTAACCCACTGAGCCACCCAGGTGCCCCTCCAAATGATGAAAAATTTTATTTCAAGAAGAATAAGAAGTATTCATGGACATACTGTTACCAAAGTCAATCCAACAGACTCTCTAAGAACCTACACACTCATGCCTCAGTGAATCTGCCAGTAAGCCCGACCTCCTTCCTTCCTTTTCTTTTACACTCCAAGCTACCCAAGTGCTGAAATCACAAGATCGCATCCAGTCTGTATTACAAAGATCCCAGCCCATGTACAGCCTTTGGGAATAAAATCTTAAGCAGAATTATAAAAATAGAATCGAGTATAAGAGAAAAGCTATTATTAATTTACAAGAGGAAAAAATAGAACAACTTCATATATAAATATGGTTGTGAACATCCTAGATGAGACATTAATTTAATGCTAAAATCCTTCCTTCAACTAGTAAGTGGATAAAAATGCATTACTACATTTATACCCTGGAAGAGTATTCTGCCATAAAGTAAACTGTTAAATGTGCAAAAACATGGATAGATCTAAGTACATAATGCTAAGTGGAAAAAATGAGATTAAAAAGCTTCATATTACAGGGTACTATTTATGCCACAGGGAGAAGAGCATTGGTTGCCAGGGACTGGGGGTGGAGTAAGGACTGACCATAAAGTGGCGTGAGGAAATCTGGGGAGTAATGGTATCTGGATTTTGGTGGCTACATGACTGTATGCCCTTGGCAAACTCAAAGAACTATACTATTAAAAGGGTGAATTTTATTATATAAAATCATAAATTATACTCCAATAAAAAGGAAGTCCCAACAAATTTCTAATAATAGCTATGCTCCCCCCAAAAAGTTCAAACACTGACTAGATTGACTCAACACTCCCACACCCTGTATGCGCTTACCAAAAGAGATGTACCCATTCTTAAAAAGGTCTCTACTATCCTACATTATCTGACTTTCAACCAAAAATTATAAGACACACAAAGAAGCAAGAGTGAAACAATATTATTTCAAAGTAATATTTTAAAAAAACAGAAGTAGAAGGGCACCTGGGTGTCTCAGTCATTAAGCATTTGCCTTCAGGTCAGGTCATGATCCCAGGGTCCTGGGATCGAGCCCCACATCGGGCTCCCAGGTCACCGGGCAGTCTGCTTCTCCCTGTCCCACTCCCCCTGCTTGTGTTCCCTCTCTCACTGTCTCTCTCAGTCAAATAAATAAATAAAATCTTTAAAAAAAAACAAAACAGAAGTAGATATTACATCATTGCTGGAACTATTTGGTAATTTAATATAACTATCATTAGCATATTAAAGCCTTAATGGCAAAACTGGATAACATGCATGCATGAGGGACAGTTCCAGCACACAGATGCAAACTATTGGAAACAGTCAAAAAGAAATACTAGAAATTTCTTAAAGCAGTAAAGCAGATTAAGAATACCTTTGATGGACTCATCCGTAGAATCATCATATTTAAGGAAGAAATTACTTAGCTTAGAGAAGAGAAGTTTCCAAAATGAGAACATAAGGAGAAAAATAAAAGGGAAACCCCAGAAAAGAGGCTCCAAAGACTTTGGGAAACTATCAGACAATCAAAATTGTGATTGGAATATAAGAAAGAAAAGACAAAGAACATTTGGCATAAGACATATCTGAAGGGGTGCCTGCATAGCTCATTGGTTAAACAGTCAACTCTTGATTTTGATCTTTGATTTTTGGTCTCAGGGTTGTGCAGTCAAGCCCTGAATCAGGCTCTGTGCTCGGCTCAGAGTCTGCTTGAGATTTGCTCTCTCCCTCTCCCTCTGCCCCTCCCCCTGTTCACATGTGCACTCTCTCCCTCTCTCAAATGAATAAATAAATATTTTTTAAAAAAATAGATATTTGAAGAGACAATGGCTCAACATTTTCTAAATTAATGGAACAGGTCAAACCACAACT